AGCTTCCAGGGAAACCCAGTTCTAATTTAATTCGATTCTAGATTTTTAATTGTTTCAAAAGATCTCTTAAATATGTTAAGAAGCAAAAGAAGCAAAGATGTCACTTTGAGGACTAATGAGTACATGACTCAAACCGTGGTATTTTCAATTATCTCATGTGCACGTTAAAGTTGAAAAATGAATAATAAACACTGAAGCAGAATTGATGCCTTTGAATTAAGATATTGGTGGAAAATGTTAAACACCAAGGATTGCCAGAAGCATGAACTCATGTATTGGAAGTATAATCAAAATGCTCCATTCAAACTCAGGATGCAGAGAATTTGCCTCATGTGCTCTGGATAAGTCAGCTGACAGGACCAGTGACTGGAGAAGAACGTCAAATGCTTGGGAAAGCAGAGCGTGAGGGAAAAGAGGAAGGCCCTCAATGAGATGAATGTGTCTCAAACACAACACCGACTGCACAGAGCACAGACTGAAAGATGGACCAGTCTACTGACAGGCTGTATCATTGTTTTACACAGGGTTATTCACTTAGAACTGACACCGTGGCACCTAATAACAGCACTACATCTGACTAAGGCAGATCTCTCTACATCCATCTAGCTTTACATCATTTATAGTTCTATTTATCAAACTTTTCTACCTTTAAAACTTTATAATTTTCCTTTCACATTGGATATCCATTCACTATCTAATTTTTTTGCTTTTATCCTTCAAGAGGCAGCTCCAATATCTTTTAATCCTTAAGCCTACCTAGATTTCTCAAATGGTTTTGATCTTTTTCCTTGCTCAAATCTCTATAATCGTTACATCTTTTTCTTATGCCAATATTTCGTTATTGTAATAATCACTTGAATATTTGGTTTCTTATTCATAAGACTACTGATTCCCCACTGTTAATATGGCATTAAGGTTTGGATGCATATTCCAAATCACACAGGACTTAGCAGGACATGTTATTATCCAATAATTAAATATTTCAACTTGTATTGAGATGCATATTTTAAGATGTATTCTGGGGGGCTCTGTGTGAAAAATAAGAATTAGGAATTTATATTTCACAAGAATTCTGAAGTTCAAAAAAATGTTTTCACATTCAGTGAGTAGAGCTAGGAGGAATCAATATAATTTCATATAAACACATTGGTGATGCCATTATCAAAACTGAATGAAGAAGAAACAGATGAGAGGAAATGAAATGAGTTTTGTTTCAGAGAGTATTAAAAAGGTCGACAAGACACTTGTAAGACATAAAAAGAAAGCTGAGAATGGTGACTGTCAGTCTCATAAGAAAAAGGTTAATTCTGGCAATACAGCTCAGCTACAATAGTTGAAATCACAAAAACAAATGACCTCAATAAGAAAGGCAACATAAATCTATCAACAGAACATCACTGATGCAGGCATTCAAAGCCAAGTTGTTGTTGTTGTTTTAACTGATTAAAGTGTTTTAGGGAAGGTAAAGAAAAGATTGTAAAAATTGAAAGAGACAAGCAGGAAGTAAAGGTGGGAAACACAAAGAAAAAGGTCATTTAAAACTAGGGGTAAACATTTTTAAAATTAGGATTACTGGTTTCATTAGAATCCGGTTGACAGTGAAAGAATTACAAGTGCTTATAAATTTGGAAACAGGAAGCAACTGGACAACCAAGTAGAGGGATATGAAATAAAATCCCAGAGTGAGGGATGATGAGTTACACAAATAGACAAAGTACTTAGACACAGCATTTATTACATAATCTACAACAAAGTTACCTGTGTGTCACAGATGCAGGTTTACTTAACATATCCTTTATTTTTCGCCTTTTCCTCACATGGCGCTGTTTTATTGCTTTAGGTCTTTTGGGCTGAAGATTTGCTAGTTCCATTAATTTGTTCATCCTATATTGAGGAGAGGGAAGGGAAAAAAA